AGGCGGTGTTCGGCGAGGAATAGAATGGCGGTGCGGGGCGAGGAGTAGGGAGGCGAGGCGCGCCGCTGCCCGTCCGCCGCTTACGCGACCGCTCGCACGTCTCCCCGCGCGGGGCCGCTAGGCCGGTCACCTCACCGCGCGCTTACATTCGCCAGTAGGTTGGGCTAATACGGCGATTTTTAAAATTTGGTATCTCGATAACTATTCGTCCAAGCACAAAATAGTACAATACTTTTCTGTTTGTCTTAGTCCCCTCTACCTTCCCATGACCGGACGTCAAAGTCTTGCGTAGCACCCTGTATAATTAGTGGGCGGTCTTTCAGAGGCACCCTGTATATGACGCGTTCAATTATACCTCTGCCATGCTATATTATCACTATAAAGATGTGTCAGACATATCAATAATAATGACTTTATACAATTAATTAATCTTGTTACGGCGGAATTTGATTGGGGTATGGCGCGCGTGAGAATGGCGCGTCGTCAGGAGTGGTTGCGAGTTTCCTCGCCAGGAGGGCTATGGGCGGCGTGCGTGTGCAGAGCGTGAGTGTGCCATCGTGTGTGTGTAGCGTTAGAGTAGTGTGGCGAGATCGGCGGTTCCGCAGCTCTGTTCGGCAAGGTACATCCTCGAGATTAAGATCCTGTACTCGAGTCGTCTGGCAATAAAAGTGAATCTCTGCAAACCAGTGTGGTTAGTCTGCTACCAAAGCGTGGTTCACTCCTCGCGAAGCGGAGGAGTGAATAATATTAAAGTCGGCCTTACGAACCGACAGTACATGGTCCTTCGAGCCGGATTCATCCGGGCAAGGCGTGGACGGGCAACACGAGTCCGCGCATTCTACAAGGCGATCGGTCACCAGGGATCGAGCGCGAGGCTGCCTGAGGCAGTGAAAGCAAAGACCAGACGAAGAGCCGAGCGGAACCAGCGACGGGTGGAAGTTCCGCCGGTCGCGAGAAGATCTCATAGCGACGAGCGGGCGAGTCCATTGTCCGCCGGAAGTCGCCATTAAGCCACGCGGGCGAGTCCATTGTCCGCCGGAAGCTTCCATTAAGCCGAGCGGGCGAGTCCATCGTCCACTTGGAAACGCCATCGCGCAGGGAGCGCGAAGCCAATCAGCACCAGGGCAGGAGAACTGCCAATCGGACGAGTAACGGAGCTGTTTCAGCCGTCGGAACCAGACACCGCGCACGGGGAATCGGCGGAAGCTGAGCCAAGCGGCAGACGCGGCAGACGATTCAACCTAACCTAACCTGAGCTACCGTACGGGGGACGCCGAGTCGAGGCCGAGCCACCACCCAGGGTGTCATCTAAAGATACGTTGTAACATTCGGAATTGTTTGCGTTAGATTTAAGTAAAATACCGACAATGAGCGCGGACGTGGTGAAATTAACCTATAAGAAGCGCGCGGCAAAGGCTTCGTTAACGCGGTTAGAGACGTACGTGGAGGGGATAGATCCCATCGAGGTTGAGATCGAGGAATTAAGATTGCGCATAGAAAGGCTGGACGAAGCGTTTAAAACATTCTCGGATACGCAAATAGAAATCGCGGCTAACGATGACACGATAGCGGATCAGGATAAAGAATCGGAGGAAATTGAAAACAAATACTTTCGATTAAAGGGCGCGATGGAAAGAATCGTAAATGATAGAACGGTTAGAGCGGATGAGGGAATGTTAGATCGCACAGTGATACAGGCCAATGGAGCGGTCAATAATGACGTCGGCAGAGCCTGCGTTCCAGCATTCAACGCTCAAATTAAACTACCGCGGATAGAATTGCCCAGATTTTCAGGGGCATATGAGGAATGGCACTCATTCTATGATATGTTCGGTTCATTAATTCATTCAAATAGAGATCTTAACGATACTCAGAAACTTCATTACCTGAAATCCTCCTTAAAAGGGGAGGCCGCCGAGGTCGTGTCGTCGCTAGAAATGACCGGTGACAATTATAAAGATGCATGGGATAGGCTTAGTGAGAGGTACGATAACAAAAGGCTTACCGTTCAGAACCACATCAGGGCTATCTTTGACTTACCTGTCGTGAAAAGGGAAGACAGTGTCGTTATCCGACAAATATTAGACGGAGTGTTAAAGCACACGAGAGCTTTACGCTCATTGGACAGACCCATCGAGCATTGGGGCGACTTGTTAGTTCACATCGTCACGAGCAAACTAGATATGAAGTCAATAAAAGAGTGGGAGAACTCGATCGAGTCCACGCGAGTTCCTACGTTCGAGGAGTTAATAGAATTTCTAAAAAAACGGTGCCAGACGTTAGAGGCGGTTTCGAAGGTAGGAAGGTCGAATAGGGCCAACGCTAACTCGTTACAGGATAATGTGCAAAGGTCCAAAGGCTGTAACGTAGCCGCTACCAAATTTAAATGCTCATATTGCCAAGGAGATCATAGCGTTTACTCTTGCAAAGATTTTAAGGGTCTATCGGTAGACGAGCGCGTAAAATATATAAAATCAAAGGGTTGGTGTTTAAATTGCTTGAAGGGCAAGCATATGGCTAGGGATTGTTCGTTAAACGGATGCAAAACATGTAGCAAGCGGCATAATTCCTTACTGCATCCAGAGAGTCCCAAGGGTGAATCGAGCAGCGAATCGAGCCTCGGAAAGGCTAAAGTCGTTGCAGATAAAGAACAGGGGAACAGTGCGGCGTGTGGACATGCCTGTTCCACGGAATCATACCGGTCGAGTCAAATGTTGTTGTCTACGGTTTTGATTAAAGTAAAGCATAGCGATGGTCATTTTATCCAAATCAAAGCTCTTCTTGATAGTGGGGCGGAATCTAGTTTCATAACGGAATCTCTAGCGCAGCGTCTAAAACTCAGGCGTAAGGCTGCGCATACAGGGTGATTCAAAATAGGTATGGTGTCCCTGAAATGTCGTATTCCTGATTAAATTCTAAGACGATTTTTCTCTTACCAAAATGTTCTCCGAAGCTTAGTTTTTGAATTATTCAAAGAAATAGTTAGCGAATAACTGGCCGAGTACAAGAGGCAGACAGGAGCGGCGCACCGCCGCGGCGCCCGGCGGCTCACGCGGGGCGGTCAGCTGAGCGATCAGCTGCAGCGTTGCACACGCACATCTCTCTCTCTCTCTCTCTCTCTCTCTCTCTCTCTCTCTTACTCACTCACTCACTCACTCACTCACTCACTGACTATTTATTTTATAATTGCAAAAACT